AACTCCATCAAGGCTACCAAAGAAACAAAATTGAACGCGAAGAACAAAAGAATAATCCGATCCTAAAATCCAGAACGATTGTCTGTAATCAACAAGAAGAGATGATTAGATTAGGATTGGAAGTGAAAAACCTCTTCGATGAAGTTGGTTTGACGTTGGAGATTTTCACCTTGAGCCGAATTTCAGTCGGAGAAAATCGCCGGAGAGAATTAGGAACCCAACCTCTTTTGTGGAATCTAGGGTTTTTATTGAAAGTTGCAGAGAGGAAGAGAGAGAGACCACGAAGGGATTTTGAGAATGAAGGGAACGAGGTCGGTGTGTCAAGCGATTGATACACGTGTTGCGGAAGCACTTGTGGGTACCCACAAGTACGAAACGGCAGAATTTGCTTTTTTTACCATCTATATACTTTCGTCGTCTTTTCATCGTAATTTACAATACTACTACTAAACTTTTATGAAGAACAATAGTAGTATTTATTCAAAAATACAATTAAATCATTGTTTTCTCATGGGAGAATTATAAAAATAGGACAATTTTTGTAGTCAAATTAAAAATATAGGCCAAAGCTTTTAAAATCAAAAAAAATATACCAAATAACGAGTTATCTGTTTCTTTGTTCTCTCACTGTCTCCACCTATATATTCAAGGAGGTTTCGCCGGTGTTGGGTCCTCGAGGTGCTTGACGGCTTCAGAACTGGCCTTGCCGGAGAGGTGGTTTGCTCAGTCACAACCACTGACGATTTTGCGTACACATAGACAGAAATCCATCCCGTCTCAAATGGTCTTGGATTAGATGGTGAATCCGGATCTCGACGTCTCTCCTCTAACTGCTCGGAGGTTTGCTCTTGTGCCCGGGAAGGCTACTGGATCGGTTCACCGGATGGTTCTTGGGTCCCTTAGGACTGCGTTGCCGCTGGTGAAGTCTCGTCGCTTTTTTTTTTTTTTGCTATGGGTGTGCTCGCCGATTAAGTAATAGGTTTCCTTTTATTCAACATTTTCTGTGAATCAATAGTTGGTGTCTTATTTTTTTATGTAAATCAATAGTTGGTGCATAATTTTGTTTAAAGTAATCAATATGCTAGTTTTATCCACTTCTTGTTTTATGCATTTCTAAGTGGTTTAAGTCGCGTGACTTAATAACAGAGATTCTTTTTCAGATAGTGTATTTCATTTTTTTACTTTGAGATTTGGCACCCTCGTTTGTTTGATTAAGAAGAAGGTAATTATGGAACATTTAACCTATTTCTTTAATTCTAATAGTTGTGACCTATTTTTTTAATTATTTTTTTTTGTTTTGAGTTATTTTCATTATTTGTCTTTTTATTAAAGGGAAAATTAAAAATAGGAGACGTTCTTGATTTAGTTCATTAAAAATATATATTTTTTAAAATAAATTCGAATCCCTTAAGACAAAAAACAAATGTATTTATATTTTTAATTTTCTGATGGACTAAAAAGTTTCAGGTAAGAAGTATTTTTTTTTCTAGTTCAACCTCAATATTTATTCATCCAAGATAACAGTTTTACATCATTACATCATACTCAATAATATCATTTAACCAAATCGGCACTAAATAATAAATTTTAGGGACATAATTCGAAAACGAAATAGCCTCCTTCGCTACCTTCGCTATCCTATCGCCCACTCTATTAACATCTTTTGGCGAAACACTACTTTGACCTCATTAATTTAGCCTCCTTCGCTACCTTCGCTATCCTATCGGCCACTCTATTACCATCTCTTTGGCGAAACACTACTTTGACCTCATTAATTTGGGAGAAAAGGATATGGATGTCTTGTACCAATGGCTTTAGTCTTGGCCAATCCTCATTTTTACAGACCAGTTTCAATTGCGCAGAATATGTTTCAAAGATAATGTTGTTGTAGTTCAGATTCTTTGTCATAATGGCAGCCCATCGCATGTTTCTACCTCTACATCCAGAGCTGTCTTCATTCTTGAATACGCCTTTGCTCCCATCTACAATACTTTTCCTTGATGATTCATAAAAAATTTGACTCTCCTTGCACCATGATCCATTGATATTGCATTTCAACCAACATGTAGTAGGCTTTTCCCATTTGCACATTCTATTTGCCGATGAGGATATTGTGGTGTTCAGTTGTCTTGTCTCTGTTCTTTGACCCAATTCCTCTGCATCTTCCATTGCCTTTCTCAAGAGATCTTGTGCATGAAACTTCGTGCCTTTATAGAGGAGTTGGTTTCTATTCTTTCAGAGTCTCCACATTATCCATGTTGCCACATTCTTGTCTTTTGTATCCGATGGACAGGTTAGAACTTTGTGAAGGTTGGTGTAGAGAGAATCAGATATCTCCTATCTTGGAGGAGCTTGAATTATAGATATTGCCCAAACCAACCTAGCAAAGGGGCTTGTCTTAGACTGCCAAATGATTTGGTATAAAGCAACTAGGTTCGGTTGTATAACTTCTTGATCAACAGTAACATTGTCTAAAGTACTTAGGTAGGTCCAATAGCCTGATTTAACTATATAAATTCTTATTTTTGTGAAGTCCTAGGTGTAATTGTCCTCACAATTCTCCCCTCCTGGTCTATTCGCCTCTATCAACTTCCTTTCACTCTCAGGGAATACCAGTTCTAGTAGCTCTCCATTCCAATCACTGCCTCCATTCACTCAAAGTTCTCTGGCCTTCATAGCTAGTGAGATCAGATGCTGGTAAGAGGGTGATACCTTAAAAATGGAGAGAATTGGTCGTGCTGGCCTACTT